TTCTAACTTTTTCACATTATTGAGAAAAGCTGTCATGATTACGAGATAGTTATTCCATTATTTAATTTCAGTCCATAATTAAGAACAATGAAAGAATATTGAGATCTATTACTCACATCTTTGGCTGGGTGTAACAGTTCTCACTGGGAATTTCTCTACAGCAGGGAACAATTTCCTTAAATCAAACACAAAGCAAACAGTTCCCCTGTGCACAGGCTTCCTATACAACGTTGTTTGCATTGAGAAGAAAATCATGAAGGTGTTCATTGTTGTTTATTTCTCAGCTTCCTTAGCTTATAGTGATACAACTAGCCACTTAGAGGAAGAGTGAAAAACTGAATGCTTATGCAGTTATACATTGTTTAAACAGAATTTGAAGGGGTTGACATAGTAGAATTGAATCCAAACAATTTGTCTAGCCAATATATAGATATTGGCTATATATATTAAAACTATATATAAATATATAAAAGTATATAAAAATTATATATAATATATAAATTATATATATTATATTTTATATTATATAAAAATTATATATATAATTTTTAATCCTCACCTGAGGATATTTTTTCCATTGCCTTTCAGAGAGAGTGGAAGAGAGAGAAACATCCATGTGAGAGAAATACACTGACTGGTTGCCTCCCACACACACTCTGACCAGGGCCAGGGCTGGGGCTGGGGATAGAGCCTGCAACCAAAGTACATGCCCTTGGCCAAAATCGAACCCAGAACCCTTCAGCTTGTGTGCCAATGCTCTAACCACTGAGCCAAACCAGCTAGGGCTGTCTAGCCAATATTAAATGCTGCTTTGTTTCTGGATAATTTTATATCCCTTCAGATGTTTGGCACAGTAGATATTCAACCATTAGTTATTCCCATCCACCCCCAAATGTTTATTTTAAAAGTCAAGTTACAAAAAGAGGAGTGAAACATTGCGACTACTGTATAAGAAGTTCAGGAGCCTTCCTGCCCACTCCCTTTAGCTGTGTAAGATAGAAGGTGAAGGGGAGGGCCCCGGGGGAGGGTTATCATTCAGGCTGATATATTATCCTGATCATTTGTTTATAAGATTGCAATCATTCCACCAGCTGTTCATTTAAATAGTTTGTGGAGACGAAGCTTCAGAATATCAAGTTATAATCATAGCTTTTGTGTAAATATCTCTACAATCCGAACAAAAATTCTTTATTTTAAAAAAAGTCAGTCCAACTCTGTTTGCTAGGGCTGAATTCCGGTACAATTCATAATATATGCTCTTCAGCTGAAGCTTTAACACTGTATGCAGGAGATACAAGAAGTTGGTGAGAGCTTTGGCAAACCTTCCTCCAGGTGGGAGGAACTTGCCCTGGCGTTGCCTGTTTTCCATCTCCCTCATGTTTCAAGCTTGGAGAGCAGCTCGGCGGAGACCGGTGTCCTGGAAGGAAGCTGCACCCACTGCTCAGCTCTGAGCATGCATGTGGCTCTCTTCCTTCTTCCCGGGTCCTGGGATTTCATCAGTCGTTGGTTTTCTGCCTTCTGAAGGCAGTGGGTCCCAGAGCCTACCTGGGGCTTTATCTAAAGTCCATAACTTTAGATTTGCCAAGGGAATCAATAACAATAATCCTCAGAGTTGCTTAAGTCTCTTTAAAAATCTCTTAGATCAAAAAGGCCCTTTGAGATAATATTTCCAAGTCTCTTGTTTTAAACGTAGAGAAGCTGAAGTCCAGCAGTGAGGGGAATAATTTCATTCATTCATTCATTCATTCATTCATTCATTCACTCATTCATTCATCTCACAGTCTAATTGGAGAGAAAGATATCAAGGCATCCCTAAGTATAGAATTTTCAATTGGGATAAATCCAAGGAAGAGAAATCACCAGGAACCATGAGCACCTACACAAGGACCAGGGGTAGCTAGGGAATCAGGGAGAGCTTCCCTGAGGAAGTGTGAATGAAGTATGATTTAAAGGATAAGTGAGAGGCAAAAGGGATTGTAGTGGAAGATGGTAGCAACATTTCAGGCAAAAACAGCATGTGCAAAGGCCTTGAGGCTACACTAGGACCCATCTCCTGACTCCAGTCTAGAAACCTTTCAGTTCCTCTAGGAGTGACTTTCTAAGCCGGCAGTTCCTTCCTTGCGTCCACTGGGCAGCACCTCACCCTTCCTGAGGGCAGGGTGCTGCAGGCTGCATGCCAGCCGCGGAGCAAACACGAGCGGTTTCTAAGCTGTGGTCTGAGCTGCCGCTTATGACAACGAAACAAAATGAAGCTCCAAGTAATTGGTTGGGGGTTGGGAGGATGTGTGTGTTTTCTGCTCCAAGTTAAATATTTCCTCCAATTTGACCGAAGATAAGTGGTTGTTTGGTGTGTTGGACGAGGCGGTGTTGATGTGTGTGGCGGACACTTCTCATGGTATTTAGAATCATGCAGAAATCCTGCCCCTCAAGTGAACGCACAGGGCATTCTAAACACATGATTGTGAGCTAGTCTGGGGAGACAATTATCTCTGGGAATCTAGGGGCCAGGCCGCCAGGGGGAGACGGGCACAACTGTGCCTGATTAGACGCAGTGTCCAGACTTCTGTGTACTTAGAATTTGTTCTTCCCACTTCAGCCTTGCCTTAGAAACCTTAGGCCCAGTGGGAATTCACCAACAATATGAGAATATATTGATTGTCACATCACACGTGGTGTCAGAACTGTACTGAGACTTACGATGTGAGTGTGATGTTGGCTTTGCTTTTCTTTCACTTGTAACTCACATTACTCCTGCTCACAGATTGTTTCCCTTGTTTTTTTTTAAGGAAACACTGTTAGAGCTATACAGAGCCTTAAATATAATCTGATGTGACCTTTTCATGTTACAAGTGTGAAAAGTAACTCCAGAAGAGAATTGCGTGGCTTTCCTAAAGGCATAGGATACATGAGCTTCAGACCCGAGAGTCTAAGTGGCCTCATGACTCTTTCCCACACTAGCCACCTCCTTAAATGGGTATAAAACTGTGATACTGGGAGAGGAACGGTATAGACTTACTTCTACCCTCATCAAAACCAGTTTTTCTCAACTAATTTCCATCCAGAAAAAAGGAAACAAAAGAAAGAAATTAATTTACCATAATGAGCACAAGAAAGGAACCTCTGATTGTAACATATGTTGCAAACTAGGCAATGATTTTCTATGAATCCCAACCATCTCTTATTCACCCTGTCCACTCCATTTCATGTTCTCTGTTTACCTCCCCCTCCACAAATCTCTACCTTCTCAAGAGAAGGCCAAGTTGATCTGGCTTAGGCCATATTTTTGCATTTTAACCTGATATTTCAACCAGAGTGAGAACAACCACAGGAAAGTGTCTGACTGTAAAACTGTATACAGGGTGGGGCAAAAGTCGGTTTCCAGTTGCTCAAATGGAAAATCATACAATAATGAATAAAGAATAATACAAGAATAAACTGTGTTTTGTGTACTCACAACTATAAACCTCCTCTTGCCCCACCCTGTATTTGTCTTGGAGTATAAAATAGGCGGAGAGGGTTTATGTTATACTCAGACCAAGCTGGTGCAGAGGAAAATGTCAATGCAGGTCATAGGTCTGGGCAGGAAAAAGACAGCAGGGAGTGAGACAGCCCCTCCAGGGGTGAGCGCTGTGCTGTTTAAGATGAGGCTCCACCTCAGACCTACTGAACCAGAATTTCCCCAGGAGCAGGGCCTGCACATTGGTGCCCGTAGTAGGGTTTCTAGGTGATTCGTAGGAACACCTGGATTTGGGAACCACAAGTGTAGAGGGAAGAATAATGAAGGCGAATGAAAGGAAATAATTTATAGCTGTGGGTACTATTTGTCCAACGGAGGCAAGCCCTTTAACTTCTGAGTCTCGCCTCTGAGCTCATTGTTTCTATGCTCCCTTCCAATTCTGAATTTCTCCCCTTCTAAGTTTTTCTTAGAAAACTTGGAATCAGTGAGAACAGAAGGGACGCCGCCCTGAGCCAGCCNGAGCTCATTGTTTCTATGCTCCCTTCCAATTCTGAATTTCTCCCCTTCTAAGTTTTTCTTAGAAAACTTGGAATCAGTGAGAACAGAAGGGAGCCAGCTGGCCGGGATACTCACTCTGAGCCCCATGAGGTAGTAGAGGACACTGATGACCGTCATGGGAAGGATATAGAAGAGGAAAGAGGTGGCCTGGATGACGAAATTATAGATCCACATGGGCTTGATGACCGCACAGGTGGCAGAGCCCGGGACCAAAGAGCCATTGGGGAAGTAGTGGAGCTTGATGCCGTGGAGGCTGGTGTTGGGCAGAGAGAAGAGAACGGAGAAGACCCAGACCACGGCCAGGACCCTGAGGGCCCTCCTCCTGGTGGACTCCAGCTTGGCCCGGAAAGGGTGCAGGATGGCCACGTAGCGCTCCACGCTGACCGTGGTCACACTGAGGATGGAGGCGAAGCACACAGTCTCGAAGAGGGCGGTCTTGAAGTAGCAGCCCACGGGCCCAAAGAGGAAGGGGTAGTTACGCCACATCTCGTAGACTTCCAGGGGCATCCCAAGGAGCAGGACCAGCAGGTCCGAGACAGCCAGGCTGAAGAGGTAGTAGTTGGTGGGTGTCTTCATGGCCTGGTGCCGGAGGATCACCAGGCACACCAGGAGGTTGCCGGAGACCCCAACCACAAAGATCAGGGCGTACACCACGGTGACCGGCAGGAACAGGTGGCTGCGCCGAGGCCCGCAGAGGAAGGTCAGGTAGTCCTCTGTGCTGTTCAGGTACCTCTTCACCGGGTCTTCCAGCTCCTGCTGGGGCACCCAGGACCCGTTCTCATATCTTTCCATCACTGACATTAAAATCCAAGACCTGCGCTTCCTCTGGCGTGAGCCTCTGGCCCAAGAGGAGGCAGAAAGGAAAGAGAAGGCGGGCGGGAAGGCGCGGAGCCAGCGCCAGAGCCGGGGCTGAGCCTTCTGCAAGGAGCGCTTTTGAAGAGTCCCCGGGAGGCCGAGGCCACGCCCCCCCGCGGCCGCGGGCCAATCACTGGGCGTGCGGCAGGCCGGTGGGCGGGACCTGGGCGGGGCTGGGAGCCGGGAGCAGGAGCTGGGAGCAGGCGGCCCCGGAGCGGGGGGAGCATCTCTCTGAACTGCAGGGAGCTGGCAAAGCGGAGCTGCCACCGGCGGCGACACCCACTTAAATAAGGCGTGGGCACTGTGAGCAGGGCATTTTGCAAAGTTGTGGGACTCTGGGTGGAAACCCAAATTAAAATGGTGGGGTCCTGGGCGGAAGAGTCTAAATCTCCATTGATTTTTGTCACCTGTATAGCATGGCAAAAATGGGAGATCGATAGATTTCTCAAGTTAGCTTGTTCCTTTGGAAATCCAGGGCTCCCTGGGGAAAGCAGGATCGATGTGCCTTTTTGGTTTTGATTGCATCCACAATAGAACCGAAAGCCTGAAGGAGCGCTCGCCTGTCTGCCNGGCCGGGATACTCACTCTGAGCCCCATGAGGTAGTAGAGGACACTGATGACCGTCATGGGAAGGATATAGAAGAGGAAAGAGGTGGCCTGGATGACGAAATTATAGATCCACATGGGCTTGATGACCGCACAGGTGGCAGAGCCCGGGACCAAAGAGCCATTGGGGAAGTAGTGGAGCTTGATGCCGTGGAGGCTGGTGTTGGGCAGAGAGAAGAGAACGGAGAAGACCCAGACCACGGCCAGGACCCTGAGGGCCCTCCTCCTGGTGGACTCCAGCTTGGCCCGGAAAGGGTGCAGGATGGCCACGTAGCGCTCCACGCTGACCGTGGTCACACTGAGGATGGAGGCGAAGCACACAGTCTCGAAGAGGGCGGTCTTGAAGTAGCAGCCCACGGGCCCAAAGAGGAAGGGGTAGTTACGCCACATCTCGTAGACTTCCAGGGGCATCCCAAGGAGCAGGACCAGCAGGTCCGAGACAGCCAGGCTGAAGAGGTAGTAGTTGGTGGGTGTCTTCATGGCCTGGTGCCGGAGGATCACCAGGCACACCAGGAGGTTGCCGGAGACCCCAACCACAAAGATCAGGGCGTACACCACGGTGACCGGCAGGAACAGGTGGCTGCGCCGAGGCCCGCAGAGGAAGGTCAGGTAGTCCTCTGTGCTGTTCAGGTACCTCTTCACCGGGTCTTCCAGCTCCTGCTGGGGCACCCAGGACCCGTTCTCATATCTTTCCATCACTGACATTAAAATCCAAGACCTGCGCTTCCTCTGGCGTGAGCCTCTGGCCCAAGAGGAGGCAGAAAGGAAAGAGAAGGCGGGCGGGAAGGCGCGGAGCCAGCGCCAGAGCCGGGGCTGAGCCTTCTGCAAGGAGCGCTTTTGAAGAGTCCCCGGGAGGCCGAGGCCACGCCCCCCCGCGGCCGCGGGCCAATCACTGGGCGTGCGGCAGGCCGGTGGGCGGGACCTGGGCGGGGCTGGGAGCCGGGAGCAGGAGCTGGGAGCAGGCGGCCCCGGAGCGGGGGGAGCATCTCTCTGAACTGCAGGGAGCTGGCAAAGCGGAGCTGCCACCGGCGGCGACACCCACTTAAATAAGGCGTGGGCACTGTGAGCAGGGCATTTTGCAAAGTTGTGGGACTCTGGGTGGAAACCCAAATTAAAATGGTGGGGTCCTGGGCGGAAGAGTCTAAATCTCCATTGATTTTTGTCACCTGTATAGCATGGCAAAAATGGGAGATCGATAGATTTCTCAAGTTAGCTTGTTCCTTTGGAAATCCAGGGCTCCCTGGGGAAAGCAGGATCGATGTGCCTTTTTGGTTTTGATTGCATCCACAATAGAACCGAAAGCCTGAAGGAGCGCTCGCCTGTCTGCCGTCCTGCCTTGCTGCCCGCTGTGGGACACTCGCCTGTCTTTTGGCAGCGCCTGGCCGGAGCAAAGGGCAGTGAGGTTTAGAATCGGGCAAATCCTGTAAGACTTTGGGGAAGTTAGTTAAACTCTTGCAGTCTCATTTTCTTATCTGTAAATTGGAAGTTCATTCATTCTATTTTGTTCAACAAATACTTCTGGAGGGCGCATCGTGTACCAGGCCTTGTAGAAGCAGCAATGAACAGGCAAGACAAAGTCTCTACCCACGTGGAGCTTTTCTTGCAGTAGGGAATTCTGGAAATATGCAAGCAAACTAAAAAGAATAAAATTTCAGGTAATCTGTGTCGTGGAGGAAAAGAAAGGTAAGAGGCCATACAAAACAAGGCTGGAGGAGTTCTTTCGTGAAAGAGGCTCACAGAATACTTATTCGGGCGATGTCATTTGGGCTGAGTTCCAAGTGATGAAAGGTCATAAAAGAGGTAAGGGAAGTGCATTCCCCGCAAAAGTAATAGCAAGTACAAAGGTCCTGAGGCAGTGACAAGCTTGATGTGTTTTAGAAACATCAGGAGGACCTATACAGCTGAAACTTAGTGAGGGGACTGGAAGAGTATGAGTGATTAGATTGAAGTGACTGACAGGGACCAGATCATGGAAAATTTTCTGGGGTTTTATAAAGAGTGTGACTCTCATTCAAATAGCAGGGACTCTGGGTCTGATTCAAAATGCAGAGAGAAATCTTTGGAGGGTTTTGAGCAGGAGAATTAAGAAGGGTGAAGTTTTAACAAGATAGATAGGGAGCCAGTAAAATATTCCAAGTAAGAAATAGTAGTGTCTTAGATTACTATGGTAGCAGTAGATGTGAGAATTATCTTCGAATCTGGGAGTATTTTTTGCAAGGGATGATACCTTATATGGTTGAGACGATTAAATGAGATGACATAATGCACCGTATACTTAAGAGATGCTCAATAAATGTTAATTCTTCTTTCCCTTTTATTTATTAAATTGATGAAAAAGACTGACAAGGTAAATTAACTTATTCAAGAATAATCTGTTGGGTCCTGAAAATATCAGGGGGAACACTTTTTAAAGTATATGATTGTCTCACCGCTATACTGCATACCTGATACTAATAAAAAACAATATTGAATGCAAACTGTAATTAAAAATTATTTTGAAAATTAAAAAAAGAAATAATCTGTTGGTCAAGACAGGACAGTTTAGGCTGCTGTTACAAATGACCCCCATAGCTCAGTGGTTTAAAACAGTAACAATTGATCTCTCACTTACACTCCAAATTTACCATTGGTCTATCCTACCATTGGTCTAATTTACCATTGGAAGGTCTATCCTACGCTATACTCACTCTGGCACCAGGCTGATGGCATGGTCATTATCTGGGACTTTGCTGGTCATTGTGGTAGAGAAGAGGGGAGCTCTAGTAGGAAATTATAAGCTCTATCCCTAACAGGTCTAGGTCTCAAGTAGGAAATTATAAGCCTAGCCCTAACACATGCCACCTTTGCTCATAGCTCACAGCTCACTGGCCAGGGCTAATCACGTCTGTCTACTCAAACACAACAGGCATGGGACGTGCTGTCTTACCATGTGCACTAAAGATAGAGACCCAGGAGAATTTGGTGAACAGCCTTAATAATGACACAGACAAATGGAAAGTCATGGCAGAGCCAGAATCGGAGCCCTCTCATTAACGATAACCTCTGATGTTGAGACACTAGTAACAAACTTTAATACATATTTCTGATGAAGTGGGACACAAGTGTAAACACTGGGAAGCAATATCTCTTTGAGATGTAAGGGTCATTAAAATGATAAATGTGGACAGTAACAGGCTATAAACTCTAGGCTGGGGGAGATGCACAGCACATAGCACAACAAATTAAAGATTCACAGGCTTCTCCACATTGTGACAGGCAGGTCTAATCAAAGAGAATGTGGTCTAGTAAGGGATGCAGTAACAGGCTCATTGCAGGGAGATGGTGTAGGAGTGAAAAGGCATGGGTCTTGGGGTTCAAATCCTGGTTAGACCTCCCGCTAGCTGTGTGGCCATAAGGAACTTATTTAACCTCCGTGAGTCGCAGTTACCCCATTAACAAAATGAGTGAAATAGCAGGACTGCCTTTCACGACTGTTAGTAGAGCAAAATAGTTCCTGCTGAAATGTTCAATGTATATTATTTTAAATACCACAACATTTAAAATAAGTATTTAATAATAAGATATGTAGTAAGATAATTTAATAATGGGAGTGTTTACTTTTAGGGAGGTCAAAAAGACTATTGATTGAAAGATTTGAATACTGAGAGATGTGCCTGGAAGTGTTCTCGTGAAAAGGGCTCCTCAGTTTTAGTGAACTATCAGCCCAGGAGAGCAAGTCGAAGTAGCAGCTAAGAAAGTATGCACGCCTGTCCCCAGATCACACCTCTCTCCCCTCTCCCTCTCCTTTTGCACACACACACGTGCACAAGCACACTTCCTAAGTTGAAAACTTGCTTTTGAAATTCGTTTGATGGTCGTCTTCGGGTCCAAACACCAAAAACAAGGAGAGAGGGAAATGTAACACCCCAGAAGGACTCTTTCTAGGCATAGCAGAGCCAGCTGTGAAGAACAATATGTGCAGGAGTTGAAGTCAAAAGGGATATAAGGATGCCACCCCTTTCAGTGAGATATGTGCCCTTCCCTACTTCTCCCTCAGACTGTCCAGCTGTGGTTTGTCATGGCCGTTGCGATAAAGAGCCGAGGCCGGAGAAGACAATGGGGAAGAGACAGCTGGGTCGCATTGGATGGAAGTCCGATTCTCAGCAGCCAGAAGAGCTGTATATAAATCCCAGGCCTACCACCAAGGGGACTGTGCTTGGTCTAATGTGTCCTCGGGTGAGTTGTTTTATATGTATGTACTTCAGTGTCCTAATGCGTGAAAGTATGTGTTGTCGGGAGTTCCACTAGTACTTTGGGAAAATGCTTGGTAGGTTCCAAGAGATTTTTGCAGTTTCTTGCTTAAATTGTCAGCCTTCCCAATAAAGATGTTAAGATGTCTGATTCACGATTCTACGTCCATGGCTGGCACACTGCGGCCATGTGAGGAGCATAAAGAGGACTCACTCTAGTTGGTTCAATGGATGGATACACACATGAAGGTAAAAGGCGGGGGGGGGGGGAAGAGGCAAGGACAGCTGGCCGGCTGCCTGTGTGACACTAGAGTCTTGTTTGTGATAATCAGGTTTCCTACTCTCTCTTTCTGGTCTCCTGGTCTGATGTTTTTCTTTCATAGGTTTTGTTTTTCAGTGATGATACTAAACTGGTTACCAGTGTAGTGAAAAGAACTGGGACTCTGTGGTTAGGCAGACCCAGGTTTAATTTTGCTGCTTGAAACTGTGTGACCTTGGGCAAGTTATGTACTATATTGAAGCATCAGTTTTCTCATCAGTAAAATGGGAGTAGCAATTCCTAATTTAGGATTGTTGTGAGGATTAAATGGCAAAAATATTTAGCATGGTGTTTGGCATACAGTAAGCATTCAATAAGTGCTGTTTTCCTGCGCTAACAGTCCAAGGAAGTTGGCCTATAATGCAAAGATTTGATAAATGGCTGGTGTACTGGTACATGGTAAGCATTCAATAAATGGTTTAAAGTGCAATGCATAAGTGTAGTATTGATTTTGGTCTCCACTCACATTTTAGTTGAGGGTGGTTTATCAGTCTCTGGTTATTTTTTATATGATTAAATTTTAGTTTAAATTTTTTTTTTAATTTTAATATGTTGATTATGTAACTTCTGCCTTTTGAAATTGATATTTTTTCTTTGATTAATTTTTGTAAATGTTGGGTGGAAACCTGAAAAGAAGATAAATTTTTGATGTGAAATAAAATCTGATCTATAGCCATTAATTTCACCTTATGGACTACATCAGTTCATTTTCTTTGATGTAGAGAATCAATGACACTATAAAAGCAAACAAATAAACAAATGCAACTTGTTTACCTGCAGCATACTGAGTAATTCACAGAATTAAAGGGGGAGATAAATAGCCTCGCCTCAAGCAGGAAAGAAACCAGGTTAGCTCTGAAGAGCCAAGCCTCACGCCCTCGTGGATGGTATCTTTGGGGCACTGTCATCTGATGCTTAACTTTCTCCTATATTTTCTCCCTTTGTATATCTGCTTAAGAGTCAAATTCCCCAAATAGTGAATGAGACTGACTTAGCTTAGATTTCTTGTCTAATTCTGTGGGTTACAGAGGAGGTCCAGTTTCCTACTAGACCAAGGGAGGAGGGAGCCAGACAGGCAGTAACAACAGAGGCCCACTACCCGGCCTGTGAAGGGCACATCTTTATATCCTCAACTAGATGTTTCTCTTTGATCTGCC